AATACTGTGGCAATTTTTTTTACATATTATCCATCCCTTTCACAGAATCTTTTTTTGTTTGAAACTTCCTTCAGCACTACACTCTGAGCTATTGGCCTCTGCAGATAACTAAGCTTCACCTTTTGTTTTGTTGTTTCCGTTTTCTGCTCAGGTTTTGTCATTCTCTATTGAGACTTCATTTCTTCTGTATTTATATATTTTGGATGTCTTGATGTTTACCACACAGAACAAAGAATTGGATTCCTTCCACTTGTATCCTGTTGAGAATTTAGCACTCAATCATCTTGTCAGTGAAAAGCTTATCACTAACTTTGAGAGGTTTGACTCCATAGAGCTTGAGGTTAAAAACTTAACAAACTTGCCTCTTGGCAAGGTATTTATTTTCCTTCATATATGCTTGTTGCTGATGAGAAGAGTATCCAAAAATATTTTTCATATAATCCCTATAGGATTCTAGATTATAGTACTGATCTCTAGTTTTCTCCTGTAGCAGCTGAACAGATGAAGACATATAGGGATGGATGATCTGCTTATTGAAAAGTTTATTTACTGATCTGTGTCCTACCTTAAGTTTAGCTTGCCACCCAGACACTTTACCATTACTCATGTGAGGCCATAGCTATGATAGAGAAGTGAAAATCCTGTATTACATCATTAGCATGACTTAGAAAAAAATTATGCATCAGGTCCAAGCAGGTGATTGTGGCAATCTAGATAGAGTACTTGGGTTTTGTGGTTGGGAGAGCACACGGGATGGGTTCATTCTGTTATTCTTTGCTGCAGTTTGGATTGTGCACTGCTTTTTCTACTTCCCTGCACCCAGCTTTTCCAAGGTGATAGTTCAAATGCCTCTTCTGGATTGCAGCACCTCAGACTGACTTGGAGAGTTTGTTACAAGTAACTAACAATCACTGAGCTCTTAGACATCTGATTTCCCTATTTCCAGGAAACCTTAGCTGGGTTTGAATAAAATACCTGTATTAATTGAAAAGAAATACTAAAAGCCTGCTGGCCTTGAAGCTATTCTGATCATCATCTAGTAGTAAAACTTCAAAATTAAATTTCTATAAGAATTAAGTCTACCAGTAGTGTTATGTTTAAAATTAATACTACCTTCAAACCTTTTGTCCAGGCGCCTCAGCTAGCTTTTCATGCTGCAACTTTTGTGCGCATAATTAGATTTTTATGGATTTTCTTCTGATATTGTGTTTATAATCTTATCAGAGCAATGTATTGTGTCATTGTAAGTACTTATTATGTACTATAAGCCACGAACAACTCCTCTTTGTAATAGCCTACTTGTCTGGTAGTCAATGTGTATTGTATGCTGCACACAGCAAAAGGGTTCAGCTTTCAGGTTATAAAATTAACATTCTTAAAAGACGGATTGCAGAATATGAAGGATTTCTTGAAGATTCCTGGAACATCAAATTACTTTTGAATGAACATTTTGTTGTAGATTAATCTCTTCACGTCATTTTGCAAGTGTTATTATGGTAGACAAACAGGAGTGGGTATTTCATGGCGAGAAACTTATATTTTTCAGATTATTGGTGTATATTCACCCATGGAAGTTAAAGGTACAAGACTTGGCTGTTAAGAGAGTCAGTTTTCATGGTGCTAAGTATGCCCATTTCCAGTTGAGCCAGTGGTGCAATGCTTGCTGCAGTAGTGTTGGAGCAATAATGATAGTATCACTTTATGAAATAGGGGTTGCAGTTTCTCTGGTATAAGAAATAACCTTGGTTGTATCATAGGATAGAAATAAGGCATTTTTAATATGGTACAAAGTGGGTATTTTTCTTCTTTACAGCTGTGGCATGTGAACATGGAAATTATTTTTGGGAATAATTTAATGACTTACAGTTCACTGCTAGCTCAAAGTTCCTTTGTGATTTCAGTTATTTTTCTTAGTTTAAGAGTGAAGAGGAATATATTTTTCTTCTTTTTCTAATCAGCTAAATCACAGGTACAATTATCAATTTTTAAATTATGACATCCTTATCTCTTAACACATTTTTACTTTGAAACAGTGAATCATAGCTTTCTTCATGTTGGCTAAACAGCTACTATCACATTTATTTCATTCAATTCAACATGAAGCATGAAATTTTGTTTGCTTGGAAATTCTTTTTAGCCCACTGGAACATGTTAGCTGTCTTTTTTAAAGAGGAATAGGTGCATTTTCTCTGGTGGTTGTCTCCTATATGATGCTGTTAAGCTAGGGATCAAAACAGCCTGTAGGGTGCTAGGATCTCAGTCTAGAACTAGCTTTGTAACACTCAAGGAATTTATCAGTTTGTTTTAGACGTGGAAATGCTATAAAGGAGCATGTTTCTAAGTGTGTTTCATTGTTTCCACGTGCTGATTTGCAAGCATTCCTGTATTCATGTACTCCATTTCCAGGTGCCAGGCCAACAGGCTCTCTGTGTTACTCTGCTCTAGATGTTAATTGGGGTTCCCTTTGTGTAGTCCTGCCTCATTTCCCCCCCACCTCACTTTAACTAATATTATTTATTTTCTCTTTTTTTCCTGGATAATTTGTTCATTATCAGGATGTCATCATATTAAACTGCCAGGAGAATGGCTAATGATGAAATTGTCAGCAGGTGCTGTCACCCGGTTCATTGCTGAATAGCTTGACTACACATCTGCTTGGTGATGATAGCTCTGCTAGCCAGGTGTCTAATTCTGTGTATCTCCCATTCCCTGTCCCATTTTTCCCTTGTTTTCTTTCAAAATCTGTAGGGTTTTGTCAGGTAAAATTTTGGGGGTGAAGGGATGGGGTGTTTGGGTAACAGTACAACAGAGTTTATGCCACTGTGACCAGTTCAGGGACTCACTTTGCTGAGGGGTTTCTGATGATTGTGGGTCAGAGGCTCAGTGGTTGCAACTTTGTTCAATTTGGGCAGCTGTGGTTGGAGTGAAGTACCTTAAAGTGCCCTTCCATCTCAACAGGTAGGAGTTCTGATCTTGGGGCCATATGAAGAAAAAAAATTTTGCCAACCAAATGAAATAGCCACTAATCTATTGTACAATAGCAGAAATAACCATTATGTTACCAAGAGCTGGTAAGCTTTTCCTAACACTAATCCTCAGTACCAGTGAGCTGGCTAGCATTCAGTTAATACCCTGGACTTAGGGGTCTCCCAGAGCTATTGTATGGTTATTCTATGAGACTTTGCCAAATCCAGATGCAAATGTTAGAAACAAGTTTTGTCTTTTTGGAGGCAGAGTGGGGTGTTGAAGCCCTTTTTTACCTTTCTTCCTTTTCTCTGGTTGTCCCACAGTGGTAGTTTTAGCTGCCAGCTGCTTTTGTTTTACTAGCAGCTCATTCTTCCACAGAGAAGTGTGAAGGATGCTATGCCCAGGGTGCTGCAGTGCTCTTCTTTTAGAAAAGGTGCTGCTACCTGAAGTTGAACAGTTTGGCATAATAGCCAGACCTCAACATCTTACAGCCTATAGATATTTTGTTGTTATTAAAGCAAAATTAATATATTCACAACTTATATTTGTATTTTATTTATTTACTCTTCAAGCTTCTCTGGTTTTGCAGAGAGAAGCATGAAACTATTTAAGTCTCGAAGACCAGAAGGCAAGTAATAGGATCCCTCAGATTGTTCTCTAAAGCTCAGGACATTGGACTGTGACTCACAATTCTGAGTACTTGAGATAGACAGACTCAATACTGTCAGTCTCACTTCTCTCAGCTGTTAGCTGCTTTGCAGTAGATAGGACAAACTAGAGAGCTTAATGGTGTGAATCACTAAGTTTTTCCTAGCAGAGGAAGGTCTGTAGACAGTGAACACAATCCTGAAAAGAATAGTGGAACATTAATTGACACAGTCATGTTTACAAGCAGTATTCATGGCATACTGATATCCTGCCAAACTGTAATGCTGTAACTATAAATTGCAGTGACTTGTGGTAAACACACTTTATTTTGCCTCTGATTTCCTTCTTCATGCCTTTAAAATCTAGTCAGAAAGTGCTTTGCTTTTCCTTAGGACACTTCACAGCAGTAAACCAAAACACAATCACTAATTCCCCTTTTGCTTAAATAAAAAAAAAGCTTCTATTTGGCATAAAACATGGCATATAAATGAATAAAACCGTAAAGATTCACATTTAATTCCATTCTACAAGATTGTCTGCAAAGTCTTCTTTTTAAACTTAACATATGGGGAAGAAACAATACTGATTTTGACCACTGAGCATGTGGGTGCCATTTTTGTGGGTTCAAGTCATTCTTGTAGAAAGGGTGGCTTGTTATTTGAAGGCAGAGGAAAATAGTGGAATTACGTGCAGAAGTGGAAACACAGACCTAAATATTCAAACCTGTCTGTTAAAAACTGGTGTAGGAATTCCTGGTTAGGCATGAAAACTGTGAAGTCTAATTGCACTTAGCTGATTCATTCCAGCCAAATTTGTCTAAAATAGTTGTTAGCAGTTCTAACTCCTACCTGGGCAGGCACTTGGCAAGGATATTTCAAGTCTAGTCAACCTTATTGTACACAAATATATAAAGGTAAAACCTTATATTTATGTGATTGTACATCTGAATTTAAGAACTGCTCACAGTTGCTCTGGAGAGAAACACGGAGGTTGCTTGTAGCTCTATGTTTTTGTTAGCACTAAGCAAATTATTTTGGAACTGAAAGTGAAAAGAAGCTTACTGAAAGTTTTATTACTTTCCTCTGCCTTAGCCTTTCTTTCTTAGGGTCAATTAATTAGTATCTTATTAACAAAATAATTCAAGTTTCTTTGTGAGTTGCTGTTACTCTGGTGAGGTACAACTCACTTTCTGGGATGTAGCTCCCTGAAAAGTCAGTATATTTTATCATATGAAGAGGGATGCAGCTTTCATTAGTAATTTAATTTTTATATGTGGTCTACAAATTTTTTCAGAGCAATTTTAAATTGGGACCATTATGTTCTTTATTTACTATGCATTATTATTACTATTATTATTATTATTTACTACATATTTCTCAGTGACTGGTGTTTATCTAGTTCATAGCAAGCATAGACTGAAAAAAAGCCCCTTCATCTATAATCTATCAAAGTCATAAAGCCAGTGCCTTGGATACTTGTACAGAATATGCAGTGTTCATTTTTTTTTTACTATAGTCATTACCAGATACAAAAATTAAGTAGAAATTAACAGATGTCATGTGTTCCCCATCTGCCCCCCTGCCATTATTTCTATGACCAAATACAAAGAAGTTACTTAATCCTGCTGTTCATGTCAAGATTCTGCATAAGTTCCTTCCAAGATTATTTTATGACAAAAAGTTTTCTTGTAAAATACTTTAAATTTGCCTTTTCTACATATCACTTCTTTTGATCAGGAAGCACCTCCTGTACAAGCTGATATCTACACACCTTTCTCATTGCAGAGAAAAGAAAAAAAATCATTGATGTCCTTTTGATGATTTGTTGCTTCACAGAGCTGTCATTCCATCTTGAGCACCCCCCTCTGCAGCAAGGAGTTGAATGAAGGCTCAATTGCTCTGTTTCTGCCTCAAAAAATGCAAGACTGCATGCCTTGTCTTATTGGTAGTAAAAGCTTCAGGGATAGCTTGATGCAGAACTGAATCTGGATTGATGGGAGAAAAAAAAGATTAGGATACTGGAAAGAAAGTTAGAAAAAAGATGGACTACCCTCAGCCTTGAAAAAAATGACAGTGAAAATAGGAGGAGATGAGGAAAGTTTGAAGAATAACAAATATCAAGAACTTGCCTAAATATGACTTAATATCCTAAAAGCAATATTGACTTACAGATATGTATAAAAGGAATGAGAAATGAAAAGAGAAAGGACTAGAGCTATACAAATTTGGATATCTAAAATTATTTCTCTAGTTAAATGTTTTTAAACATTAGAAAAATATTAAAATGGTATTCACACACTGATAAAAAACCCTTACAGATTCCCCAGTTTGATCACACTGATATACTGTGCCTCAGAGATTAGTGGATGGATAACTAAAGTATGTGTGACAAAAGCTCAGAGTCCAATAAAAACCTTCTTTCAGAATATCTTGACAAGTTTGCTTAAGTCAGGAGAGGAATTACTTGGCCACTCTGTTTCTCCGAGGGTTTTGCTACAAACCTTTCCAACAGCCAGCTTATTCCTTCCCCATGCCAGTAAAAGCCTTAGTTTTCATGCTTCATTGTCCTAAAAATAGAACCCTCATTAGTGTTTTGAGATTTATTGAGCTAGAATACAGTTTCATGCCCACAGCTAGGAAGTCTTCCTCTAACATCTTGAGAACTGAGAGAGAGTGCTATTAACTTACAAAGTGATATGATGGTAAGTTATTGAAATGTCTTTGTATTTTGTATTTGTCATTTATGTCTCTGTCCCTGTCATGGAAGCTGCTGTTGAAATCTTTCAACATCAACACTCTGCCATTTAAAACTTACCCTGCCAGCATGCCATCTGTTTTGATCAGGGAACCACTTTCTACGTGAGCAGACTCCCACACACATTGCACTTTGCAAGAGAAAAATGTGTTTGCTGGAAAGTAAAAAATCTAACCTTCCCTTGAAAAGCAATGCTCCTTGACTCAGTTTTTTTTAAAAAAAATCTTATAATTAGATAAGTTCACTTCTTCCCTCTCTCTCCCATTGCTTTAGATTTCTAGACAATGGAAAAAAAAAATGTAGTAGAGTCAAGCCCTCTATGTAGCTGTGTTCTGTATCCCCAAAGCTGGTTGCACATATTGTTATAGTTCCAGTTAGGACAGAGACACTGGCCTTAAAGTTTATTTCTATAGGAAGTAATTTTTTTAAGTTAAAATAAAGGTATTTTTTCTGTGCATGTCTTCTTCCAAGAGCAATGGAAATGAATACATTTCTCAAAGTTTTTCTAGCTTTTTTAAGGCAACTGTAATCAATATAAGTTACAATTGATTACATGTTATTTTTTAATAACAGACATCATTAGAGGAGGTACATATGGATAACAGTCTTGATATTTAAGCCCACTATCCCTTGATTTATTTATTTTATCCCTTATTATCCCTTCTTTCTTTATTTTTTTTTTTGTGGACAGTGGAGCTTTGTGGGTGGAGGGAAGCAAGAGAGGGAGATGTGAAGATCTCCAGGCTCAGTTTCTTACCTCTTCTGGAATCGAGTCATGTAATTCTTTCCATGAAGTTTTCAAACTCCATCTTCTAAATGCTTAGCTTTCTTGTCAAGATCTATATTCTTCTGTTTCTTAGTTTTGAGCCTGAAGTTCTTTCTTGGCTGTCCTCTGGCTTAAATAGATCGCTGTCCTGTCAGTAATTTACCATATAAAGTAATAAAAAAGTGCATAACCCATTATTTCACTGACCTAAAATAAAATACATTCTTTTGGTCTTCCCTTATTGAAGTTGCTGTTCTTACAAGTTGGTAAGATTTCTGAAGGGTCCAACACTGGTCAGGCACTTCTCCCTTGTTAGCCCAGCAGCAATGCCTGTCATTACCTGTTTTAGAGAGTAAAAATCGGTAAAAGAAATCCAGCTTTAGATGTTTTAGAGCCATGTGAAATGCTGTGAAGGGCATCAGATCAGTACTCTGAAAGAAAAAAAAGAACCAACACAACAAAACCCCCTAGTGCTTCTCTGATTCCTATCCCCCAAATTCTCCTGGGAGGTTTCATATTATCCTGAAATTTACTGTTTTCTATAATTAATCTTAGCAGGGCACTAAAATCCCTAATAGACTAGTGATGACACAGATGAAACTCTCCATCCACAGAAATATAAACACTTGGCCTGTGAAGAGTGGCTCAATGTTAGGAAAATCGTGCAGCAAGCCGTTAGTGAATTATTGTCAAGGTCAGGGAACGCACATTTATTTTCCTGGTAGTTGTATCATTATCAGGCCCTTATGATATATCCACTTGCACTCAAAATGTAGCTAACTTACCTTGGTGAATTTGATTTATTAGCATTGCAACTGACAAGGTTGCCCATTTGTTAGTGCTTATTTTATATTTGAATAGCTTTCAGCGCATAAATTTGAGGGATTGCTTGAATACTTTAGCTGTTCCATATTTCATGGAGAAAGCTAGACTAGAAGAGTGCTGCTGTTGATATTTCTATCTTCATACTGACCACATTTTTAAAATAAATAAAAAGTATGCCTGTATTTGTGCTTAAGTGCTTTGTGAGCAGATTTTACTGCAAACAGTAAAACTTGAATGTGAAAACTCATTACCTTTATTCTGAATAAACTGTGACATAGCCTTGCTATAGAGTTTATTTTACATCCAGAGCATAAAATAAATGTCTTTTTAAAAAGACATGTAATTCAAAAGAAAGGAGCTAATTACATGGGTTCCTCCTATTAAACTTCAGTTAAAGAATGGATGGAGAAGGAGTAGATGAGTAAGTAAGTGGTTTGGGATGGAGGAAGCAGCTCTCAAATAGATTCAGAAATGAGGCTTTAAAGTTTCTTATTGACTTCAGCGGTGTTGCATCAGGCAGAGGAGCACAGTTTAATTACAGCCAATATTAACTCATCATCTTCCCAGAAGGATGCACTTTTAAGTAAACACAATTGTATAAATAGCCAAATAAAGAAAAAAGCAAGACTAATTACTTGCCTTTAATATCTTGTAAAGTTCCTTTAACACGTCTCTATCCTTTCAAGTCACGTTCTGGACTGTGAGGAAGAAATACTTAATTTAACTCTCTTTTTTCACCTGTCTCAGTGTGGGCCATCACCTGTGTGCCTTCAGTTCTATAGATCTCAGGTTGTCCTGATTTTCTAGGGCTCGGGAGGAAAACCAGTCAGAAGCAAAACTTACACAAACTCAGTGTGATGGGGCCCCATGTCATCTTGTTGACACTCAGGGCTCATGTCCTGCCCTCTACCTTTACCTTTACCTTTCCTACACAGAAAGTGAAGGTACTAATCTAATGTCAATGATTAGCAGCTGACAGCCTGAGGCTGTTTTCTCCTGGACTGTTGGATTTTAGTAGGATGGTTCAAGCAGGTGTTACCTGTAGGCTTTACTGTGGACATCTATGTGTCAACTGTAGAAATCTAATGATGCACATATAAATTGGCAAGATGAGTTGGGCATGAAAGCTCAGGGCTTTTTCTCAGCAAATTATGTCCACCAAGAATATTTAATCTCGTTGCCCTTTTCTCTGAATCCACTGGGTCAAATTCAGGCATGGGGTTTTCATAATTTCGGGTCTTTTGCTGTTATTAATTCCTGTTGACTGAAAATTTACTGACAATCTGACTCTCTGCTGCCTTTGTGCTCAGCTCTCACCTCCTGTAAGAGCTTTATTCTGGTGGGACAACAGTGTAGACAATATTAGTAGAGAAGTTTATGGCCAGAAAGGTCAGAAAACAAAGCAGAGATTTGAGAATCTCAATGAAATCTCAGTGGAATGCAGGGCACCACACATGAGAGGTTGCCTCAATATTTCTCACTGGGAAAAGAACATGGAAAAGTATTCTCTTCCTGAACTCACTGGTGGTTGCTGAACAGGTTTATGCACAGAACTGCATGGAAATTAGATCTAAGCTATTTTAATTACAAAATATCCACTGTATAATTATCAACGCTTAATACAAATTGTGTTCAATATATTTTATATATAATTGAAATTCTGTAAGATTAAACTGTAATAATATAAATAATTTTACAGGATGAAAAGTAGGTTAAAATAAGCAAATTTTATGCTTTAAACATTGAGTTAAATATTCTCTAGTGTTTTAAAATATTGTGGTTTTTTTGACTGGTAATCATTTCATTGAATAATAAATATGAGCTTTCTCTTTTATGTAATTAATGCAACCCATATTTTTCAGTAGAGAAATGAAATGTTGAATCATACATAAAAAGTAGCTATGACTATTTTATTACCAAACTTAATTCAGTCATTTCCACAGTTATGGAAAATGTTATTCTCATTTTGGGGAAAACCTTAGTCAGTGAAAAGTAGTTTTGTTTGGCATATACTTTGAGTTACCTGAATCCCTGGTTAGGTAGCCCCTTCTGGAAGGGGTGTGTGTGTGTGTAAGTATTACACACAGGCTGGTTAAGAACAGTAGTTTGCTCTTTGCAGTATCATGCATCTTCAAAACCTTGTTACTAACATTATGTAAGGCATCTTTAACACTTTCTGGAAGGATTTTGAGAGGTTAATCTAATACTTAATTCTAATACCTTAGTTTTCACTTATAAAAATGAAATCTAACATCATTGTGTGAAACCTATATGCAAGAATAATGATTCCCGATGCTTTTCATTGGACCATGAGTTTAGTTTCTCAGGCTATTACTACATTTCTTGCAGCCATTCCTGTGGTGTAAAATGAGGACATCATTTGAAGTATGATTATGCTTTGAATGCCCAGTGAAGCTTTTAAAATGATACCTGACATCCAGCTAGATGTAGATAGACGTTGATTTTTTACTTTTAGTTCAGTTTTTTTTCCAAAGAAAGTCTGTTAGAATCCAAGAGAAAGGAAGGTGAAGAAACTTTACTTTCCTGTTTTGACATTCACTGTAGCTGTTATGGTTTAACTCCAGGAAGGCAACAGAATGAGTGAGAGAATCAGAGGTGTAAAATTGCATGTGGTGGTCACCCAGGACAGGAGAGATGGTGTGCTGAGTGGAGTTATTGGGCACCAAAGCCACCTCAGGTCATGTCACTGCTGCACCTGCGCTGCTTCTTGTATCACCTGCCCTCCACTGTGGTTCTCCACTCCAGAGTGGCTCCTGCTGTAGTAAATCCTATAACATGCAACTCCAATCATGGCTTACAGCAGTTTAAACATAAATCAATTCCTATCTCCATCCCTGGTCCTGTTGGGCTAAATTATAGGCTTTGACATTGCAGTGAGCTCTTCTTCTTGCTCCTACTCTGACTAGAAGCAAGGGCCTCCTGCTATGGGAATTCTGAAATCATGGGTATCAGAATTTTAAGCTATTTCCACAACAATCATCTCCACCCTAGTACCTTTGGACCAGATAAGGTTTAGCATTACAGTGAGCTCTTCCTCTTGTCCCTGCTTGGGCCTGGATTTATCCACAGATTGCAGCACCTTCGGGCTGTACCTGTTCCAAGCAGAGCCTTATCTCTGAGCCAGAGCCTCACAGTTACCCGTGTCAGCCGGGCCTTCCCATGGTTACCATCCATCCCTGCAGGGCTGTACCTGCTCTGCCATCGGCTTATTCGTGGCGAACGCTTTGAGGCGCCCCAGATGACCTCAGACACAGCTACAAATGCTTCAAAGTGTATCTGCTGCAGAGTGGAGTGCCCACCAGCCCTTCACAATTCCCCTGCTGGGTTTGACCCCAGAACCAGGCAGGTGCTCCCTCACTCCCCACAATAGGATGAGTGAGACCATCTGAAGAGTAACATTGAGAAAACTTGTGGGCTGAGATAAAGACAGGTCATTAGGTAAAGCAAAAGCCACATTCACCAGCAAAAGAAAACAAGAAATTAAGTCACCACTCCCCATGGGCAGGCAGGTGTTCAGCCACTCCCAGGAGAGCAGGGCCCCATCATGGATAACAGTGACTTGGGAAAACAAACACTCCAAATGTCCCCCACCTCCCTTCTTCTCCCCCCAGCTTTATATACTGAGCATGATTCCATATGCAGTGGGATATCTCTTGGGTCACTTAGGCTCAGCTGTCCCAGCTGTGTCCCCTCCCAACTCCTTGTGCACCCCCAGCCCCTCACTGCTGGGGTGGGGTGAGAGGCAGAAAAGGCCTTGGCTCCATTTCAGCCCTGCTCAGCAATAACAAAAACATCCCTGTGTTACCAATACTGCTTCCAGCAAAAAAATCCCAAATTGCTTCCCTATACTGACTAGTGTGAGGTGAATTAACTCTACCCCAGCCAAACCCAGCTCAGTAGCTAAGAAAAGCTGCTGGCAAGTGTAATTCAATTACACTTCCTTAATTCTGACTTGGCTTTTGTAAGTAAAGCCCTAAGGATTAGTTGGACATAGGTCTTCTTATTAAAATACTTTTGTTTTTTTAATAGTGTGGGAGCTGGTATCTGGCATCCTTAGGCAGTCGGGAAAATTAGAGGCTTAGAATTATTAGAGTAAATTAGCATTTACTCATCACAATGATACAGAACTACACTGCAGTTTGAAACAGTCTATTCCTGCTTGTGCTGGCAGAGTAGCTGCAGTGACAGAGTGCAGTGTGGACTACAAAAATGTGTTTGAATAGGCCTAAAAGTAATTAAAAGGGCAGTATTTTCTGAGCTTTACTCTGTTACTGCTGCACAGCACTCAGGCTAGTTTGGTTAAATCTAGATCAGATACATCCATCCTAGCAGCAACTGTGCTTGGTGTACAAGTATTCCAAGGGAATCTGATGTGTGTGCTCTCCAGAGAGAAAATGTTACAAGATCAGGCCCTAATTAATTTATAATTGTGTAAGGCTTTAATTATAAGACCTTAATGACTGTCTTCATTTAAAACACTTTAGGGAGGTTGAGTTAAA